TTTCCAAAAAATCTGCAAAAGTCGTCTGTAAAATTCTAACACTCTTTATGATAACATTAACAGGTTTCCATTATTCTTTGTCGTTATTGGTTCTATCAGTTCTATGCGGTGACAGCCACCGTTCACTCATGAAATTCAAATTATGTGAACATTAGATGTAGTCGTATTAGCACCTTGTTGATGTACAATGTATGTATATAAACACAGTATATAGGTATTTGTATATGTATGTACATAGTCGCCCATGCTTCGGTGTGCGTGCAACTTTTAGGTCTCTGTCTATCCCAGCTTCAAAAACTAGTTTTACGATCTGAGCGCAAGCATCGATGGTTTGTTAACCAAAAGTAAAGTGCCTGATGGTGAGCGCGACTTAGTTGAAAAGGCTGGAGTATATATGTACGTATGTATGTTTTGTATATATGCGTGTATGTATCTATGTATTTACCTTTCTATCTCTCGGCCAACATACTGATGAATATGTATATGGGACTCTACAGGGTGATTTTACCAATTGGAATTCTTAAAAAATTAAAAGATCATTTTAGTTTATAGAAACTTATTTCTGTTTATTTGATTTTCCTTGTAAAATATTGATATCTTTATATGCTGCTCTTGCAAAGAACACTTTAAAATCTATCACAACCGAGATTTCACTCATCCAAAGTTTTATATTCGTACATATAGGTTAGGTAAGGTTAGGTTACACTGGCCGGCTAATGCGCCTTACATAGACCCGTTGGTCCTTTGTAGTGCCAGATGGAGGTCCGTTTTACTGCGATCTAAAGTAGTCATCGTATAGGACGTCCTATACGTTCTAACGTCTCACTCATGCCTACCTCCCTGCACTTCCTGCATACGTCCCTGCTACAAATGCCCATTCTGCTTGCGTGGGATGCCAGTAGGTTGTGGCCCGTCATTAGGACGACAACTGTCCTGCAATCCCTAGTGACCATGTAAGCTAGAAATGGGCGTTTCCCTTGCTGCTATTGCACATGATATTGGTGGTTTCGCATGGTTTCGCTAATGCGTTCTATCTCACCCTGATCCGGCACCCAGCTCTTTCGGAAATTTCATTATAGATCGTTTTTAGCGACTTTTGTATTTCCTGTATTGATTCGCTAGCAAGACGGATGGCACTTTTACCAATCTCATCAGCTATTTCGTTGTCTATAATGCCCTTGTGGCCTGAAACCCAGTATATATGCAGCCGTTTACTCTCGGCCGCCCTGCCTACTACTTCCCTGCTTCTAAGGACATTTTCTGACGCGATACGATGTGAGATTATAGCCTTAATCGCCGCCTGGCTATCGACATATATATGGATATTTTTTATATAGTTTCCTGCGTTGCTAGCTATCTAAGCAGCTTTCCCTGCAGCGAAGACTTCCGTACACTGGAAGCTTGAAGGATTGCCTGAGGTCTAACTCGGCGCAATAGACTCCGGCGCCCACTCCATCAGCCATTTATGATCCATCCGGGTAGATGTTATAGGTTCCGCTGGAGGGTCACGTGCTCATGCGCCATCCGCCTTCCTTAACCGTAGCTTTGAACCTTCTTTCCCAGATGAAACGTGGGGGTATGTGGTCTATTTTGTCCTCCATCCCCCTGCACATCGAGCTGTGCCCGAAGGTTCTTGCGGAGAGTTCACCCAAGGCCATCAATCTCATGGCGGATTTCGCTGCAGTGCACTCCACCGTGATGTCGATTGGAGGTAGGTCAAGTAGCCTTTCAAGTACCGCCGCTGTTATGCACACTGCAGCGAGCCGCTGTAATCGCTCCAATGGTTTTCTATACGAGATTTTGTTGGCAGCGGTCCACCATAGCCTGCGATAAGCTTTATTTAGAGTGTTGGTAAGTGTGACTACCAGTTCCTCCAATTCAGAGTGGGAATCACTTACCCTATACTTGGTTCAATTCTTCCGCACTACCCTTTCATACAATTCCCAGTTCGTGTTCTTGGGATTTCTGAAAGTTTCGCTTTTTGTACGGGCTGAGAATTTTACCTGAAATCCTACATACCTATGGTCAGAGAACGAGGGTGTACTAAGCACCTCCCAGTTTTCTACTCCGATTTCCTCACTAGTGTGGAGTGTTATGTTAAGGTCGTTCTTCGAGGTAGGGCCAATATAAGTTGGTTCCTCACCCCGGTTAGCTATATATAAATTACTTACAAAGCAGGCCAGTCGTTTATCTTGTGGGTCAATTGGAAACTCCAAGTGAAGCCAAGTCCTTCTCCACCTGGTGTTTCCATCTCAGTGGGGGCCTCGCTCTTCCTCTGCTACAACCAGCGGGTTCCGAATTGAATACTTTCAGAGCTGGAGCGTTGGTGTTCATTCTAACGACATGGTCAAGCCAGTGGAGCCGCATATTTTAATTCGCTGCACTATATCCATGTCGTTGCAAAGCTCATGCGGTACTCGCCGTCGCCAACGCGTAAAGACCCGTAAGTCTTCCGCAAAATCATTCTCTCGAATACTTCAAGAGCCGCCTCATCGGATGTTGACATTGTCCATGCTTCTGCGCCATATACCAACACGGGCATGATGAGTGACTTATAGAGTGTGGTTTTCGTACGTCGAGAGAGGACTTTACTCCTGAATTAAGCCACCAATTGCACGCTTCTTTAGTAAATTGTTCCTGATCAGTTCAGTTCTGCAGCTCTTATTATCTTCTCCAACATCAGATTAAAGAAGTCACATAAAAGGCAATCACCCTGTCTGAAACCTCGTTTGGTGGCGAACAGCTCGGAGAGGTCTTTACCAATTCCGACGGAGATGGTGGTATTGCTCAACGTCATTTTACACAGCCATATCAATTTGGCGGCCGTCTTCATCGACTGGGGGATCGGATCCTTCTTCTTCACAACTTTCCGTGCTGCTACCTACAATACAGTAGGGTGGAAAAGTGTTACCTCAATAATTTAAGTACGTTCTGAACATCGGTAGTCGCCATGATTGTTCTTACAGGAGTACCCCCTAGCCTTGAAACCTTCCATAAGTCGTCTAACTCTCTGGTAAAATTTTCGGGCATTCTTCTTGTCGGCCAGCATATCAAGTTCTTTGCACAAAGTGCCAAAATGGCACTTTTGAAAAATAGTAGTATTAATATATTTTTGTGAAATCCTTTGCGTCTACTTCTTTTTCACAACTAAAATTTTCTAATTTCTATAGTTTATTGTACAACTGGTTTTTCTTACTTTGGCATTGTTTTTAATGCTAAATGTGAAGGATTAAAAACAATGCCACCTTTTTTGGCACTTTCATTTTTCTATTTGGCACATTTTGGCACTTTTTTATCCTCAACATGGCTCTTCATAGCTAAGTATAGTTGGCAACCCTGCCCCTCATCGTACCAGTTGTTCTTTCGGACTCGCTGAAATCCGACTACTTCTTCGGCGGCGGTACTTAATGAGCGGGAAATGTGGTTCCACTGCTCGCATATGTCGTCGGTTTGTTGAAGAGTGCTCTCTGAGAGCAGGTGTGAGAGTCGAGTAGCGAAAGCACTGGCTGTCTGTTGTGATTGCAACTTTTCGACGTTAAGCTTTCCTTGCATATTTGGGCGCACATTTTTTTGCTGCACGGAGGCGGTTGCGTACCTCGGCTGCAACAAGATAGTGGTCCTAGTCGATGTTTGGGCCTCGGAGTGTACGTACGTCCCAAACACTGGAAGCATGTCTTCCGTCTATCAAAACATGATCGTTTTTCGATCCGGAGACAGCTACGTAGCTTGATGAATCTTTTTATGCTTGAATCTAGTACTGCATACTACTATGTTTTGGGCCCCGGCGAAGTCGATCAGCCTCAATCCGTTGTCCGACGTTTTTTCGTGGAGGCTGAATTTTGCGACGGCGTTAAAAAGTTAAAGTAAATTTGTTTCATAAATTATATTAATTATTAAAATATGGATATCAATCAAAATGGTTTTGAAGAGATTTTATTTCTTACATAACTATATATAGGAGGGTTGCCATCGGTTCAAAAAATCAAGTTCAACTCGAATTAGGGCAAATATGGGTGTCGTATGAAAGAGGTCGAAGAAGATTTTAGGGTGAACATTTGCTTAAGAAAGTTGCCACCTGGTTGAAAAATCGAATTTCATTAAATTATACACACGTTATATGCAATATTAAAATATGGGTTCCAAATAAAAGAGTTTTAAGAAATATTTAGTTTGAACATTTAGAATATTTTTTAGGTATTTCAAGAATGTTACCACAGGTTAAAAAAGATAAATTCAAATTATTTAAGAAGATGTGTATTAATCGAAATGGGTTTGAAGACACTTTATTTCCGAAGTATATTTACGAGGGTTGCCCCGTGTTTAAAAAATTAAATTCTACTTTATTCATCAGTTAATTGAAATATGTATCACAATGTCAGACGAAAGACATTTAAGAAGGTTCAATTTGCAAATTTTTCGAAGAGGGTTGCCACCAGTTGAAAAAGTCGAATTTAATTAAGTCATACACAAGTTATATGAAATATCTAAATACAGTTGTCAAATGAGAGTGTATTAAGAAATATTGAGTTTGAAAATATTTTTGATTGCGGTTGACACCTATTCGAAAAGTAGTATTTACAAGTAATGAAAAATCGGCACAATACGAAACCACTCTGCACTCACAAACGGCTGGATGGATTTAGATTAAATTTGGCACGTGGATCGTAAATATAACACTAACACGGTTAGTTCAATATCGGCATTTTAGCGCCATACCTGTTCGGTAGTTAAAGCTAATATTTATCACCCTGTATAAGCTTACAAGCGGCTTTACATATCAAAGTACTAGCAGCTGGCCAACAAAACCCAACAAGCCAATAACTTCAATGCGAAATTTAACAACGCCAGCATTAACACTAACACCAACACACACAAAAAAAATAACAACACCAACAAAAGAATAACAATAACAACATTATCGCGCATATTATCTCATAATCAGCAAAATGTTGGGGAGAAAAAAAATTCGCATTGCGACTGTGAGCACCGAATCTCCAAAGCGAAAATCAGTTGAGGAACTTCAATCGTAACGGTGAGTTCCATTGTTGGCTTGTTCCGTCATTGTAGCGAAAACTTGCGCGTGTGGCTTATCTGTGAGCAAAGTGGAAAAAAATCGAACTGAAAGGGATGGTGAAATGATATTGAAAAATCTAAATTGCAATTAAGTAGAATTGATAATAAATGCGCTTTTGAAACGAGAAGTAATTTACAAAAAGAAAAAATTGCTACAATTAAGAAATAAAACCACCTGTGCGCGTGTGTGTTAAATTATAATTTATATGGAAAGAAGTTAGTAGAAAATTAAGCGAATTTCGTATACGAATACAAATATACAGTGCTTTGTAAGAGCACTGCACAATACATATAAAGTTTACACACGCACATCTAAAGAAGCTTGTCTTTTTACCTTGACGTCACGTCGCTTTTTTTAACCTGCCGCCACCGACGAGCGCAATCCAAACCGAGCATTCGTAATTTTGCCGCTCAAACGAAACACGAAACATATCTTAGATACGTGTAGATAGTAGCGACGCGCGACAACTCCGGCTCCCAATGCGAAAGACGAAGTGCTTGGGGCAGTGGTGTGATACCAAAAAGATATATGTATAGCCGGAGATGCGACTACCAGTTAATGGCAAAAGCCAAAGCAATTAAACGGCTCACACATATGTACATACATACATCGAAAAGTTTTACATACTGGGGATTGTGGTATGCCTAACAAAGCCTAAAAAACGTAAATATATTTATTTATGTATATAAATAAAAAATACTCTTGAAAAAAAAACCAAAAAAAAAATATGCACAACTGGTCTGCAGAAATAAATGTCAACCTAAAGATTTTCCTCCGAATATAATTGTAGTGGTTAGTACATTAAATATTTATAAAACTAATATTGTATATAATGTAAATACTATATACATAAATAATCCATACATATGTAGGTATGTATGGAAATGTACATATACATGCATACACACATGCATCACTAAAGAGGTTTACAGTGGGGATCAAAGAGTGTGTCTTCATATCAAAAGCTTACTTTCAGCTAAGTGTAAAAAATACATAGGTATGTAAATGCATATCTACATTAGACCGTACCACCTTACAAGTAAGCAAAAAAGTTCCCCGCACATCACTGAGCCTAAAGTATTTTTGCCAGGCAAATTGGAAAAAAAAACTTTTTTGCTGAACCGAAAGGCGACCCTTATTGCAAATTTCATTGACTACTATGTAAGAACATTTGACAATGAGATTTGATTTTTAAATAGTTCTACTGGAATAATGGAAACTGGAACAGTGCTTTTTTAGCAAAAGTTTAATGATTTTTAATGATTTCCAATGAACTTTGGAACAAACAAAAATTGCTTCATTGAAACAAGAACATCGAAGATATGACGCAAAAAGTAAAAAGGCAGCCCCTACGATCGGCAAAAAAAAATATTTTTTCGAAATTGCCTTTGCAAAAATTCATTACATTCGCAAGAGAAAAAAAGGGTAATTTTTTTTTTTTTTTTGGTACGCTCTAATGAACATACATACAAACATACACTGCGCTAAAAATAATTTTAAAAATTATAAAAAGAACAGCCGCAGATTCGCTGGAAAAAGTTGCGATAAGAGAATGTTAAAAAAATTAAATTAAAAAATATTGAGTGAGAATACCGCTGACAAAACAAAAAAATGTACAGAAACACCAAAAATTTTAACAAATAATAAATGATTCTAAAATAAATTTTCTACTGGTAAAAATTAACACAAAAGTGCATATCTATGTATGTATATTGAAAAAAAGGAAAAATACCTTAAAAAAACCAAATAGTTCTAAAATAAAAAAATTTTACTGAGAAAATTGCCCGAAAAATTTAAAAATAATCAAATTAAAGAGTTTTTTAAAATTTTTAATACAAATTGTGTATAGTGAAATTCACGCGAAAATTTAATTTACTGACAAACAATTTAATTAAAGTTCAAAAGTTACATGATGCAAAATATATTTACTAAGAAAAGCGCTGAAAATCTTGCCATGATTGATCGAATAAATATTAGAAAATACAACGGAAAAATATTTACTGCGAAAATTTGCCTGAAACAGAATAAATAATTGTTCTGTATACACAAAACTATTGCAAAAGATTACAAAAAAGTTAAAGGTTTATTTCTAAATAAAACTGTTTTCTCTGAAAACCCAATTCTAAACAATAAATAAGCAGTGTCTCAAACAAGTGTTCACAAACTCTTTTTTAAATTTATAATCATAAAGTTTATAAGTAATCATGGTGAAATAAATATAAGGTGCTGTCACTTACATATCTAACCTCACTTTTTCTGCATGCCAATTGCGGCCATGCATTTTGGGGTACTAGAAAAAGGGCGAAAAGATTAGGATTATGTTTACTACTTTTTGGGTACTATTTCCAATACATACATATATCGTGGACCCCACACCAGTTTAATGATGCTTGCGTCAGTAAAATACTTTTTCTGTAAACCAGTATAACTACAGTTTCATTTTTTCGCTCAAAAGAAATTATCATTACTTAATTTTTATTTTTTCGATCAAATATATTGATTTTAATAATTATTATTCAGTTATATTTTTCTACCTTAAAATTATTAAGTTTGTAAAACTCAAAGGCCACACGGTCGTACCACACATATGATGATGGTTAAAACTTGAAAAAATAAAGGCTATTTTACGTCTTTTATTTATTCATATTAAAACAAATTAAATTATACCGTTCTCTTTATTTAATTATTTTAAATTCTACTAAAAATTACATATTAACCCGTATGGAATTTTATTTGTATTTTTTTCCTTCAGTTCTGAAGTACATGTATATGCGTACTTAGGTTTTAAATATCTTAACTTTAAAGGAAATTTTATTACGACCTTTATTTTCGTTAATATTTTAAAATTACATTTCTGAATTCTATCAGTTATATTATAAAATAATTATGCGTTTAAATTAATAGACCAAATTGCATTATCGTAGCCATCCGAGGTACTGCTCTAATAATCTGTTGGATATGTGTAGTATATATTTTACCAAAAATTTACTTACAAAATCACAATTATTTGAAATTATGTATCGCTAAAATTTTCCAATGAAAATAGGAAGGTAGAATAGCTGAGAGGAATTTTTCAAATTCTTGACATTTGCAAGCAATTTAATTTTAAAATTTTTCACACAAAGTCACACACACATTCTCATTTTCAATCTCAAACAACAATAACTTTGAACAATTTCTTTTTTTTACTATCAATTTTATATGATTTTAAAATGTTGACAAACTTAAAAAAAAAATCATGGCCGACGAGTTGAGAGAACGGTTTTAACTTACTATGTTTTTATCATGGTTTATACGTAAGCTATTTGCAAATAAAAATAATTTGCAACTACCTAACTCACTGTTTATTCGATAGTGAAAAATTTTTTTTTAATATTGTCTGCTCCATTTTTTGTTCCGGTTTGCACAGAAATGAAATTGGAATGAATAGAGTAGGCATTACTGTAACGCTGGCATGCCGAAATTGCCAAAATTACAACAACCACCCCCTAAGTGATAACACCTTATTATTATTTCACCATGATAAGTAATATTTTTTTTCTTATAAATATATTTCTCATGCTTTAGCAAAAACCATATGAATGAAAGTTTCAAACTTAACACAAAATTTAGAAATTTTTCATTAAAATTTCAATATTTATAATTTGAATCTTAGAATATTCTTAGGTGTGTAGTTTTATATACTCATATCATCTTAATACAATAAAGTGCAAGTTTCAAACGGCTGAAAAAACGTGTTGAATTTTAATAATTTTTTCTACTGACACATTTTTGGACTTTTTTTCATATAAATATGAATTTCTTATGCAATAAAATGAACAAGACCACTCGCAAAAAAAAAATATATAAAAATAATCGTCAGTTTTAATAAATTGCACTTCTTATATGAAAAAAAAAAACCGCAAAAGACGGGACAAAAATAAATTTTCAAAAATCTACCTGAATTCTTAGCTGCTTTAAACGTACAACATGTAGTATAACGTTGTAATTCGCAATTTTGTTAAAAATTGATTGAATATTCTTAAAGCTTGGCATACAGTTTGAGAATTTCATTTATATGAATTTCGGTAAAGCGTATAAAAAATAATAGAAAAAAATTTACGGAAAGCATTATCAATCTGCCTTATACTGAGTTCCGCCTAAAAAAAATTCACCCGAAAATTTTAAATCCGCCCATAGTAAATACATGGAAACCAAAAGTGAAAAGTGAACCGGTGCGGAGAAAATGAAACTCATGATAAGGCTGAATATGTATTCAAAAATAAGCAGAATGTGAACACATTTTTCAGTCACTGTACATAACGCTAGCATAGAGTAAAATTTTGTTAAGTCCAGTGTTTGAAATTTTGCACGAGAAAAGGAAAACTTCCTTAACTTATTTTCTTCAAATATTTTACAAAATTTTAATAGCCAAAATTTTCGAAGACAAAGCGGAACATAACTACGTACGTTCTTACTAAAAGAGATGCGAAAATGGCATTGTTTTGAATTTATCGCTGTTTTTGTGCTTTCCCGGAACTTGGCAAATTTTTGTTTCACTGCGTAGTAATAAGCAGCAATGGAAAAAAAATATTCAGTCCTTCCTGAAACGATGCATATTTAATTTCCCTGCTTTCTGTATCAAAATATAAGCGAACATAAACGACAGACTTAGCAACTTTTCGCACAAGCTAGCAATATTTAGTATGTATTTCACATTTTTCCACGCATTCCTTCAACTAACAAAAAAAATGCACTTAAAAAACAGTAAAAATACTTAAGCCCAACACAATACAGCTGCACGGAAACCCACGATAAGGCAAATATTTACTAAAAAAAAGTAAAATCTAACACCTACACTTGCAAAAAAAAAAACGCATTACATATCTACAAATTGTAATAACGGATAATTCCACCAACGTGTGAAAGGAAATACATTCATAAATACTACTCAAGATGGTATTCTACATATCGTTTTTTGGAAAAAACATCGACCCGCCTGACAAAGTGGCAAACGAAAAAAGGTGAGTCTGAGTGTGTGAATGTGCACGATGGGGTCCACCTGTGAGTGACGGTCGAAAGTCCTGTGTCATTAGCCCCCAATGAATTGCCAATTTTTACAATAACTCTGCACACATACTATTATAGAAATATGTACCTACACATAAATATGTACGTGTATATAAAAGTACGGGAATTCGCGTATAGTGAGGCCTGACATTGCTAACTGCGTTCATAATTCTATTAAGCCGATATATATTTTTTTTTGTTTTCAATACAATAAAAGAGATTCCCAAAAACCACAAGTTCCTCAACAACAAAAAAATTACACAACACAATTGCGACTTTTGTCTGCGGCGCATGTAAGCGAACAATTAAGTATACATACACACACAGCCATACATACATATCTACATACGCAACAGGGTCAAAGTCCGTAAAAACGTTAAATTTATCTCAGAATTATTTATTTTTTATTGTCTCTTGAACACATGCATTTGTATGGTTAGGGTGGTTGTTGCCTCTCATGATCTGAATTATGGGAGTTTGCGGTTTCTGTAAATAAAATTCAAGTGGAGTAGAGTGCCAAAAAGCGCAAGTGATATTTTGATGGATACTATTTTTTCAATAGTATGGCTTTAACGAAGTGTCCAATCCTGAGCAAGCTTAAAAAATGTGTAACTGATGGATAATTTTTTTTTTTAGCTTTTTTTCACTCATAGTCACATCAATATAAGACTTCCATGTGCTCTGAGCATTTATTTTCAAATAAACCAGAATGCGGCTCTTCCAAATGCTCCAGAAAAAAGTTGGACTAAGGTAATCACAACACATTCTCTAGCCCTACGGTGCCCTCGAGTCACAATATTCACCCATTTTCTGACGTAGCTTCAATAGCAGAAACCACTTGACGGCTAAAAAAATATCTGGCCATCGTTCTAACTCGCCAGATTGTCAGATATGGTATACACTCCGAGCAAAACATCCGTCAACATAATTATGCCATAACTGGCCTTTGGCTTCCTTGCCGTGAACGTGAAGACGCCATAGCACGCTATGTAACTTTTAATAGCGAAGTGCTGAGAGATGAACGCTTGAGGTTTTTTAGACAAGGGCTAAGTTTGGCTGGATTGGCTGAATGTAAAGGTCGACAAGAATAGGAGAACATTCTAATGAAAGGTAGACAGTTAAGTATAAGTTGGCAAAAGATATGTATATATTTTCATACCCGAGCGCACTTGTACACAAGGGTATTATAACACTATTCGCTTAAGGCTTGTTTCAAGGCATATTGAACAGATAGTAGCAGTAGAGCAGTTGATTTTATTTCTTTGGTGAAATCTTTGAAATCCCTTTTTGCAAAAATTCTAAATTGTCAAAATTTATTTGTAAAACGTTTATCCATACGTTCGCCTAACTCAGGAAATGCTGATTACTGAGCCTTGCAAAAGATGGATCGATGCTTCTGGAAGAAAACAATGTTACTAAGAAAGAAGTAGCAGCAGTTTTTATGTATTTAAAATGCACTGTTTTAAATATTTTTTTTCACATGGAACACTTCTTGCATATGCCTTAGTTTGTTTGTAACAGCTTAAAGAAATCGAATATATAGACATATATATGTATATCAGGCTCATAATAAAGAGAGAAGTCGATTAAGCTATATATGACACGATAACTCGAGCAAAAATTGAGATATCTGAACGAAATTGGGTATGAAGGTTCTCTTTATCCAAGGTACTTAAGTTGGTATTGGAAATGGTCGAAATCGGATCACCTCCCATTTAACGGTATTTCCGTAAATCTTCTACTTCTTATTCGGCACTACAACCGTTTGTCGATTTGGACCTCGCCAGTTGCTTCTCTCTCTCCTTTGCTAATTTGCACAAGTTGTTCATCCCAAGCGCGGACAGATCCTTCTGTACTTGGTTCTTCCAAAGTGTTCGTGGGCGCCCTTGCTTTCGTTGTTCACCCATAGGTGCGAAGCCGAATGACCTTTTCACAGGAGCGTCGTCATCCATGCGTATAACTTGTCCAAGCCAGCGCAATCGTTGTATTTTTATGCGCTCACTATGTCCATGTAGTTAAAAAAAAAAACTCGTGCTTCGTTCGCCGAGAGAGGGCTTTGCTTTTCAATTCCCTACCGAGCCCAAAGTAGCACCTATTGGCAAGAGTTATTCTACGATTTATCTCCAGGCTAACATTATTGTCCCTTCACTACTTCAATGCTATGACTGCGGACAGTGACGTGTGTCCCAATACGCGAAGACTTGGTATGTGTTACCAGGTGATACTTTGTCTTGTCCTCGTTCACCGCTAGACCAACCTCGTTAGATTCTTTTTCAAAACTGCAAAATGCTGCACTGACGGATAAAACAACCGTCATTGCGCTCAAATCAAATGCAAATACGGAAAACGTCCACAATAAATTTAAAAAATCTGATTGCTGTTGCCCTAATGCAACCATGCTACGACAACAGCAAAATGTAGGCGCAAAAAAATACCTTTGAGTGTAACAAAATGTTGGCGACGTCCTTTTCAACTTTTGTACGGTAGACGTCTACGCTTTGAGACACAATTTGGAACCAACTGTGACACCCCAATTAACATATCACAAATAGTATCGGTCAAAGATCTGCAGCACCCTTTATATACGTAAACATATATATGATGTATATGTATATACGTATGCTATTTTGTAATTATTTTGAGAATTGTCCGCTACACACTTTCTAATCTAACTAGTTTCTAGCTATAGCTTTCATATGTACATATGTATGTACGTAAATATTTGTATCAATCTCGACTTTGTTGTGTTCTAACTGACTTAATCGAAGGTCATAGTGAGCGCACGACATATTTATGCAGCATTAACATTTAATAGTTAGTGAACTTTACTTATAAGTATATATTTTTACATTCACTTTTCTAATAAATCTATTACGTAAACAATATGGGATTGTAACCTTTGAAACTCACATTGATTTAGCCATCATTTTATTAAGCAGAGTTTATCAATAGACGAAGGCGAAGTATTTAGCTAACTTCAATCGGTTCAAAATTTTTATTATAAAAGAAGAGTTTGAAGCCGTGAAATAGAGAAGTGACAGAAATATTGTTGATGTTCTCAAACCCCTCCGAATTGTCGCCGAAATTTTTTGCTTCTCATATACATAAACAGATAGCAGTCAAAATCTCTCCATTCCCATCTACACCTTTCCTGTAGAATATCTGCTAATTTCGATTAATTTTATTAATACAACCATTTTTTTTAGTTTTAAGTAATAAGCCATCGAGACCGACATGTCCTAATAAAATCCCTTTAGTGGACGCTAGCTTTTGGTATATAATAAAATCAGTAAAGGTCGCAGGTTAAAGAGTATATCGAGATAGGTAGGTAGCCGGTCGAAAACGCCCTATCTCAGAAAACTTTTCAAGAACGCCCTATTTCAGAATTTATTTGAAGAAAGCCCTATATCAGATTTTGATTGACGAATGCCTTTTTTAGAATTCGGTTCAAAAACTACCGATCTCAGCTACCGATTCAAAAACGCAGAGTTTATCAATATGCTCACATACAAGTTTATATCGTATACCCGAGCCCACTTGTGCACAAGGGTATTATAACTTAGTTCGCATAACGCCCACTTCCCGTATAGAGGTATTTTCGAAAAAATGCAAAACCTGCGATATTTCAGTAAATATTACGTTCAAATTGTTGAAAATTTTTATGTATGTGAAGTATAATTTGGGTACGAAATTATACTGTTATGAAATTTTTAGAAAATGGGAGTGACCCCACCCACTTATGATCAAATACTGTATCTCAGTAGTCCCTTGACCAATCCTTACAAAACTCGATACGAGCTTTGAATAGGGTCCAACTAATAAGCTTGTAGATAATCTTTGAAATCGGGAGTAATTACATCCACCTCCCATATAACGGTAATTTACAGAAACACGAAAACTGCGATAAATCAATAACTACTGAAGCTAATCAAAATCCATGATTGCAAAAACAACTTAGCGAAAGATTAGATTATAATAGATTTTTGGATAATGGGCGTGGCGCCGCCCACTTATGACCACAAATGTGTATCTCTGTAATCGATTTATCAATTTCGGCCAAACTCGGTGAACGTAATAACCTTGGTACGGAAAAGCACTTCGTTTAAAATCGGACTAAAATTACACCCCTTCCCGTATAACGGAAAATTTCGGAAATACAAAAACTCCGACATTTCAATAACTGAAGACTCTAATTTACTCCAAGTTAATACTTTCAACAATCTCTTAACAATAAATAAGACTGTTATAGACTTTTGGAAATTGGGCGTGGTATCGCCCCCATTTTATAACTACAACGGTCTATCTCGGTAACCACTTTATCGATTTCTACCAAACTTGATTCAATTATATCATTAAGTCTAACTCAGTGGATTATCGAAAACGTTTGAAATCGGTGAAAACATCGCTCCGATATTTGATACCTGTGCCGGGTATATAAAGTTCGGCTTCGCCCAAACTTATACTTCTGTACTTGTTCTACTTATACAGAGTTATTTTACTAATGATAAAAGAGGCAATAATCAAGGCATTATTCACCTTGTGGTATTAAGTGGAAGAGATCGAAGAATTCCATCTCAGCTATCCTCTCTAGACTGCTAAGGAAGCGTAGCCCCACTTGTCTGAGTCCTTCGACTGCCAACCCGAACAGCCATAGAGAAAGAGGTCGCTTAACTACTACTTCTTCTATTTTTCGCGACATCTTCTGCAGATAGAACTCGTAGGTATTTGCCATCGTTGGAGCATCGGTACAATAGAATGGTGTCCCATGATGACGCAGATAAGAACACTCTCTGCAAATCTAAGTTTCTTAAACTCTATAGCAGAGGTGGGCACTACCACAAACAAGCGTGAGCTAAAAGTGAGAATGTGTTAGTGTGCCTAATTCATTTTGCATGCTGTCGTGTTCTCATCGCTGCGCTCTCGCTTGTATACGTACACGCGACGCTTACGCTCT